TTAAAACTATAAAAAAGCTGTTGAAATACTACTATTTTTTTATTAATTAATATTATTTTTTTAGACTTCTTTCTATTTTAAATATCTTTTAAAAAAAAGATCAGTAGCAATATAATTAAAAAATAATTCTTAATAAAATATTAATAAAATTATAGAATTCTAAGAATACTTAGATCTTATAGTATATAGTTGGTATTAGTTATATAAAAATATTAAATATTTATCAGAAATCTATTAATATACTATATAAAAATATAATATATTTTAAAAATTTAATATAATTTTAATAGAAAGTATATTTAATAGTTTAATATAAAGATCTATTGTTTATAAGTATTCTAATACTTAATATAGATAAAGAGTATAAAAAAAACAGTTTTTTAAAAAAATAAGAATATTATTTAAATAAATAATATAAAAGATATCTAATATATTATAAAAAGCTAAATAAATATAATTTTAAAATATAATCAGAATATTAGTTAATTTAAAAAATATAACTAAATATTTAAAATATTTATAATAGATTTGAAAGACTGTCTTCTATTTATTTTTCTATTTAATATAAATTTAGTAATATATATTCTAAATATCTAGTTTAAAAAAATATTTGGCTTTTATAATCCTATTTAAAATTTCTAAAATTAAAAATAAAAAATAATAATTTTTAATTAAAATCTTATTAAGTTTTTTATAATCTATATATAATCGAAAATCTTTATTTTTTTTTAATATAAAAAAAATAAAAGCTTTTATAGAACTTTTAGAAAATTAAATTTATTCTAATTAAATATTTTTATTAATATAATAACAGAGAAATTAAAGCTTAACTTAAAATAAAAAATAAATAGATTTATACAGTAGAATTTTATTATTTTTTAAATTAATAATATAATCCAAGAATCTATAAAAAAAAATTATTAAAAATAACTAAAAAAAATATATATTTATAAAATCTTAGAGTTTAGAAAATAATATAATCTTATTAAATTTAATTTAGAAATAATTTAAAAAAACTTTAATTTTTAATAGCCAGATATTTTCTAAAAGTTTAATAATAGTATAAATATAAACAAGATTTTAGTAAGCTTTTATAAATTTATAAAAAAATAAAATTTTTAATATTTAAATCTTATATTACTACTGTTAATTTTATATAAATAAATAAATATATAGATCTTTTAAAATAGTTATTAAAAATAAAATAGGACTTTTGGAAAGATCTAAATTATAATTAATAGTTATATAATATTTTATAAATAATTATATAATTCTTCTTAAATTAATAGTAGTAATAGAAATTTTTTATATATTATAAATATTTATAATAAAATAATTAATTATAACAACCAGTAGAACTATAAAATAGACTATATTTAAATAAAATTACTAAATAAATTAATAGCTAATAAAATTAATTTTAGTATATAAATCTAAGTCTATATGAATTTTAAATATATTTTTAAAATAAATAAATATATTAAAATAAATAGCAGTCTTTATTTTAAATTAGTTTATTTAAAATATAAAGACTTCTTCAACTATTATTTTTTTTATTAATTTTAGTTTAATTTTATTTCTATTTCTATAAGAGTATTAATTAGTTAAATAATATTTATTATTATATTTATAATAATAAAGAATTTAGATAAAAAAAACTTATTATTAAACTATAAAAACCCGGATTTTCTAAAAGTTTTATTTAAATAGTATTCCCGGCTTTTTAAATCTTATTTTTTCTTTTAATTTAATATATTCTAATAATTAATAATAATAGATACTATTTTCTCTCGGAAGTCTGATAATTTTAATATATATTTATAAATATATTAACTAAATTCTGATATCAGCTTTAAAAAAAAATTAATATATATTTATTATTTTATTTAGATTTAAAATAATATTTTAAAATATTTAAGTAAAAATAAAACTTTTTTAAATTTTAATTAGTTTAGTAGTAGGTCTGTTTAAGCTGTTTTATAATATTAAATTATAAAATAATTATATTTTAAATAAAAAAAAGTCTATTAAATAAAATAATCTTATAATTTCTTAATATTTCGGCGGTCTTCTAAGAATTTTTTATTAATATATTAATACTATTTCTGCTAATAAATAAAATCTAAATAGTTAATTATAGCTAGAATTTTTTAATTCTTTATTTAATACTTTTAAAAGTTTTTTTAAAAATATATAATAAATTATAAATCTATTTTATTCTTTGTTATAAACTGAACCGAAGAAAAAGAATAAAAACTTTTTTAAATTTACTTTTTTTTTATTTAAAAAATAAGATTAAGCTAGTATAGTATTATTATAATTTTATTAAAAATTTAATATTTATATATTCTGTTTATAATATTTAAACCTGTTTTTTTAATTATTTTAACTATTTTAATTAATAAATAATAGCTTATACTTTTTAAATATCTATCTAAATTAAATAATATAATTTAGAAACAGACAAAGTGCCTTAAAATAATTCTAATAAAAATTTATTAAATAATATATTACTTTTTCTTAGATAACTAAAAAAAAAAATTAGAAATTATTTAGAAACTATTTAATATAGTAGATACGCTGGTTAGATAAGATAAATAAAATAGTTTAAAATAGTCTTCTATTAATTTTAAAACTAATTCTTAAGAAATCTTCTTTTCTAAAGAATCTCAGAATAATATATTATATAAAAAAAAGTAAGTAATATAATAATATAAATATCTGAATTAAAATTTTAATAAATTTATATTAGTCCTAAAGCGGCTGCTATAGTAGTAGATATAGACTGCTGTAGCAGTAGGTATTGTATAACAATATATTAATATTATCTTTATTAATAGATAGAATTTAAATAGCTAACTGCAGCTAGAATTTTTTAATTTTTTATTTAATACTTCCGAGAAGCTTTTTTAAAAGTATATAATAAATTATAAATCTATTTTATTTTCTATTATAAACTAAACCAAAGAAAGAAAATAAAAACTTTTTTAAATTTAATTTTTTTTTGTTTAGAAAATAAGGTTAAGCTAGTATAATATTATTATAATTTTATTAAAAATTTAATATTCTTATATTCTATTTATAATACTTAAATATATTTTTTTTAATTATTTTAATTATTTTAATTAGTAAATAGTAGCTTATACTTCTTAAATATCTATTTAGATTAGATAATATAATTTAAAAACAAATAAAGTATCTTAAAATAATTTTAATAAAAATTTATTAGATAATATATTACTTTTTCTTAAATAACTAAAAATAAAAAGAATTAGAAATTATTAGAAACTACTTAATATAATAAATATACTGGTTAAATAAGATAAATAAGATAATTAAAAATAGTTTTTTATTAATTTTTAATTCTTAAGAAATCTTTTTTTCTAAAGAATCTCAGAATAATATATTATATAAAAAGAAGAGATAAGTAATATAATAATATAAATATTTAGATTAAAATTCTAATAAATTTATATTAATTCTAAAGCAGCTGCTATAGTAATAGATATAAGCTGCTGTAGTAGTAGGTATTGTATAACAGTAATATTATCTAACTTTAATATAATATAATAAAAAAGAAAATAATATTTAATTCTATCTCTGAATCAGCATGTTTTAAAGAAATAAAAATTATACTAAAGATTAGAGTGGCTAACAGCCAGGTCAGGTCAGGTTAATTAAAATTTTTATACCTGACTGCAGGTTATAATCAGATATAAAAATATATATATTTCTAACCGGTTTAACCTGCGGTTAACCGGCCGATCTAATTTTTTAGTAATTAAATCTATTTTAGAAGGCGGTAAAAAAGAGCAGAATATAACTATTTAATTTTAGTCTGATTTTAGCTTATTTCTGTTTGATTTCTATTTAAACTAGTTTTTTTAGAACTAGTCTAGATATAACAGTTAACTATAGTTAACTGTTTTATCTAACAGTTAATTTAATTTTATATTTTAATCTGACCGCCAGGTTATGGCCAGATTAAGATTAAGATATAACAGTCAGGTTAATCCACTCTACTAAAGATTTTTATTTATAGATTAAGTAATTTGATGTGTATCTGTAGAAAAGATTTTATATTATTTATATTACTAAGTCTTATTTAACTTTTAGATATTTCTAAAGTAGCGTATTATATATATTATAAATAAATAAATAAGTTTTAAGGCCTCTAATACAGTTAAATATTATAAGATCTAAAAAATAGTAGATAGAAGAAGTATAGATTTAAAATAGTTATAAAATATTATTAATCTTTAAATAAATCTTTTTAGTAACTATAATAAGAAATTAGATTAATCTAATTAGTATTTAAGAATATATCATTATTAAAAAATTTAGATTAAATATAATATAATTATTAAAACGGGGCTTAATATTTTTTAAGAATTAGAAAAATAATAGACAGGCCGGCGAGATAAAAATAAAATAAATAATATTAGTAGTATATATTTTATTTAAATTATATAACTAGTTTATATAAACTCAGGCATGCAGTTAGAATAATAGTTATTTTTTTTAAATCAACTTTTGGATTAATCCAGGATTACTTAAAGATTATTTAGAATATATATTTTTATATTTTTTCCACGCTCCGGGCTGTTTAGTAAGTAAAAAACAGTACTAAGTTCGATCTAAAGTAGAAAGAGAAAGTCGCTTGATTTCCGCAGTAATCCAGTTTGTTAGTAGTCTCATGCCCGGTTGTGAGTGATAAGCGATACTTGGATCAATCCGCCGCGCCGCATGTGCCTGGCCTTGTGATCCCCACTCGTGCCCTAACCAGCTGGTGACATCACCTATCCTTCGCCATGGTCGACAACACAACGTCACCGTCTGCAGCGTAGTCAAGAACCCAATCTGAAATCTCGGCCGATTACTTTGTGTGCCAATGACCTCAACTGTCTTACTCTCCAGTAGACCCAAACCGTATGAACGGTATAAAAACAACCATCTAAGCCAGTGTAACCACCTATACCCCATACATACCACATAGCGCACCCAACGCATCAAAATGACCCCCAACCCAACGCCCTACACCTACGAAAACGCCATCTACAGCGCCGGCCTCGGCGACGAGCGCCCGCGCTTCCCCCCGCACCCGCACGACTGGGAACCCACGGCGAAATCCCGCCTGTCGGCGGACAGCTTCGGCTACGTGCACGGCTCCGCGGGCACCGGCCAAACGGACGCGAACAACCGCGCCGCCTTCGCCAAATGGAACCTGGTGCCCTCGCGCCTGGTGCCGAGCGACTACCCGGACCTAAAAGTGAACCTCTTCGGCGAGGAATACCCCTACCCGATCGCCATCGCGCCGGTCGGCGTGCAGAAGATCTTCCACCGCGACGGCGAGGGCGCCGTGGCGCGCGCCGCCGCCGAGGACCACGTGCCCTACATCCTCTCGACGGCGGCCTCGACCAGCATCGAAGACGCCGCCGCGGCCAACGGGCCCGCCGGGAAGCGGTGGTTCCAGCTGTACTGGCCGCTGAACGAGAACAACGACATCACCGCCAGTCTGCTGCATCGCGCCCAGGACGCGGGCTTCAAGGTCTTGGTCGTGACTCTGGATACGTATATCCTGGGCTGGCGGCCGAGCGATCTCAGCAATGCGTATAATCCGTTCCTCCGGGCGGATAGTATCGGCGTGGAGCTGGGGTTCACGGATCCCGTGTACCGGCGGAAGTTCCGCGAGAAGCATGGCAAGGAGGTCGAGGAGGATCTGGGCGCCGCGGCGCGCGAGTGGGCGCATACGGTCTTCCCCGGGCGGAGTCACGGGTGGGAGGATCTGGAGTTCCTGAAGGAGCACTGGAAGGGGCCGATCGTGTTGAAGGGGATTCAGACCGTCAAGGATGCGGAGTTGGCCGTCCAGCATGGCATGGATGGCATTGTCGTCTCGAATCATGGCGGGCGCCAGCAGGACGGCGGCGTCGCCTCGTTGGAGGTCCTCCCCGAGATCGTCGATGCGGTGGGCGACAGGATTGAGGTGCTCTTTGATTCCGGGGTGCGCTGTGGGGCCGATATCGTCAAGGCGCTGGCGCTCGGGGCGAAGATGGTGCTCATCGGGAGACCGTACGTTTATGGGTTGGCCATGGGGGGTCAGGCCGGGGTCAGCCATGTCTTGAAGTGTCTCTTGGGCGATTTGGATCTGACGCTGCATTTGTCGGGCGTGCCTTCGGTGCGGAAGGAGCATTTGAATCGGTCGATTTTGAGGGAGTCGAAGTAGATCGACCGTGTGACCCAGTGCATTTATATTTCGTAATTGATTATAGACTCTACAGACTTTTATGCCAATAAATGATTTACATACTACCGTGCTTGTCAAATGGTTTTGCAAGACATCAAAACTTTTTCTATCCGCTAATAATATACATGCTCTCTCCGCGGTGACTATGTACAGGTGGGAAAGCCGCATTGTTCATTATTCCATCACATCCGCTCATTCATCACGAACTGGTGGCAGATGCCTTCTGAGCATTCTCCTCGGCCTTAGCAGCGAACTTGGCTCGGGCCAGTTCGATCCGTGACTTGGGACGCTCGCCCGTGCTGTTGACAGCATCCAACCCCTTGGCCTTGGCAGCCCACTCGCCCCGGCGTCGCTTGTACAGATCCATCGACCAGTTCCTCCACACGGCCCGACCCACAAACGAGTCGCGCAGGGCCATCTCGTTCTGCGCAAGCTCTTGCGCCATCCGCTCCTTGACGAAGAAGACATCCTTTGTGGCGTGCCACAGGGCGTCCACCACGCGCGATCCGCTGCTGTCCAGAGCCAGGTCCTTGAGCTGTCCGGTGAAGCGGGTGACCAGCTGGCGGCGGAATTGCGTGGTCGAGGTGGGTAGCGTGAGTGCTTGCTGCAGGACATGCGAGGCAGTGGGGTCGGTGGCGATCTTGATCAGAGACTCCGTCGACTGCGCCAGCAGGCCAGAGTACACCAGCCCGCTCAAAGCTCCTGGGGCAGTTAGCATCGTCTGCGCGAACAGGGAGCTGTGCAATCGAGCTGCTGCGAGAGCCTTCTGGTTGTTGGGGGCGCTGGTTCCCTCGTCGCCGTATCTCGGCTGCTCCACATCATCCTGAGAGAAGCCCTCCAGCCACAGCATCTTATCCAGACGGCGAGCGGGGTCGCGGTCGTAAGCAGCTTCCAGAGCACGGGCAATGGGGGCGGTATCGACCCCACGGATCAGACAACGCTCGATCAGGGCCTTGGGCACGATCAGTCGGGACCGCTCAATGAGACCAGAGATCTGGGGAACAATCAAGTCGACCGCCTCTTTGAGATCATCCTTGCCAAGACGCTCGAGGATACGCAGAACGACATATCCAGCGGTGATGTTGCGTGCAAGGGAGCCCATCTGTTCGCGCATGAGGTTCTTGTACAGCGCCTTGAACAACTTTCCGGGCAGGCACTTGACGATGGTTTCCAGCAGTCGCGATCCAACCGGGTCGTACAGCAACCCACGGACGAAGATGGTGCTCTCAGAGCCTTCCATGAACTCTTCATCTGGGATCAATCGTCTCGTGATCGACTTGGGGTCCTTCGCGCTGGACTTCCCAAAATGCGACAGCTCCAAGTACACCAACACTTGCAGCACCGGGTTTCCAACCGGGTGGGTGGCCAGTGCGCGGAGATACGTATCATCCAACACAGACACCATATCCTTCATGACCTTCTTCAGGGTGGCCTCGAACGTCTCCGGGACGCCTCTCTTCTGCGCCACAGGGTTCTCCTTCGGCGTATCGGTGTTGGCCAGACCCAATCTCTCCTTCTTCCGACTAGCGACAACGGAGTCGCTCAACGACAGATCCACCGGTTCTCCCGCCAAGACCAGCAGGAGAACTCTGATCGTGTGCGACGCAAATCTCTCGGTCAGCAGATATCCCCAGTTTCCTTGCAGTTCCTCCACCACCGTCATGAACATCTCAGCCAGCGACAGCTCGGGTTCCGGCTCCTCGTCCTCCTCTCCGTCCACCTCCATCTTCTCCGCCTTAGGCTTCGATGGCTTCTGCGTGACGCCGGGCGCGGCGTTGATGAACAGGGTCTCGCAGCAGTGACTGGCGAACCGGTGCTGGACGAGGTGCAGGAAATGGCCGATAAACTTGTTGAACAGGCGTCGGATCTGGCGCATGTCGGACAGTGAAATGAGCTTCTCCATCAGCCGCGAGCACGACTGGCTGCACGCAATCTTCAACTCCTTGCCCCGGGCCTCCGTGTACACACTCTCAATGAACACCCGCCGCTCCTCCTCGTCGCCGAACTGGTTCAGTTCCAGCACCTCGCTGGCGCGGGAAAAGTATTCCTGTTCCTCGGGGTCCAGGAGACCGAAGAACACCGTCTCGCCGGAATTGCCATTCTCCTGGTCGAAGCCCTCCTGCTCGGCTTGTTGGTCGTATGCTGGCTCGGCATCCAATGCGATGTAGTCGGCGCCTTGGGTGAAATCGTCGTTGGCGGGCTCGTCGTCGGTCGACGGCTTCATGCGCTTGGGCAGGGTCTCTTCGGGGACTTCATCGCGTTTGCGCTTGGCGGCGTCCTTGCTAGCCTTGTCGACGGCCCGACGACCTCTCTTCTGATTCTCACGCGGCATTTTTGACTGACCTTGGTTGAATGGAGAGGCTTGCGATCGACAGTCGGGGGCAGTTTTTTTTCTCGGCGGAAACCCAGCGGTGGTCCAAGCGTCTCCGCGGGTTGTTTGCCGCGTTTGCAGGGCGAGGCCAGGCCAGGCGGTCAGGCGCAGATTTTTGAATTGTTTGCTGCGTATCACGTGCACTCCGTCATTTCGACGATACTGCTTCCTTTCTGCAAGGCGAAATATTCAACTGTTGGTCGCCATCTTTACTCAGCGATCATCAGCACTTCAATTGACCCTTTTTCTTTCGTCCTTATTCTGATCGAGTCATCTGTTTACTTTCAAACCACATATATCTCAGAAAGGCCTTCAGAACACCAAAATCCCGGTCGTCCAACCCGACCATGCTGAACAGAGCTCTTCTCCGAACGCCCTGGTTGCGACCAGCGATCTTCAGCGCACCACACCCCTCGATCAGCGCAACAGCAGCCTCAGCACCGCGCTTCCCAACCCTGTACGCCACCACCAGACCTCTCACCTCCGCCCCCTTCCGTCAATCCGAACACCCACCCACGACACCCTCAACGCCACCGTCCGAGACAGCCGCACTCCCATCGCAAGACCCCGAACCCGCCACAACCACCACAACCACCGCCCCCGAACCCCCATCCCACATCCCGTGGTACCTCCAAGACGAGCCCGACGTGCCGGCCACGCGCCCCATCATTTCAGGCGAGCAGATCCCCGCCCTCCCAGAAAACCCGCCGGCCCTGCTCGCGGCGCTGCTGGAGTACACCTTCAAAGACCTGGGGCTGGACGGGCTGAAACTCCTCGATCTGCGGGGACTGGACACACCGCCGGCGCTGGGCGCCAACGTGATCATGATCGTCGGCACCGCGCGCAGCGTCAAGCACCTGAACGTCTCGGCGGACCGGCTGTGCCGCTGGCTGCGGGCCACATACAAGCTGGCGCCGTTCGCGGACGGCCTGCTGGGCCGCAACGAGCTGAAGATCAAGCTGCGGCGGAAGGCGAAGCGCGCGCGCCTGGCGAGTAAGGCCGGGACGCTGGTGGACGACAAGGACGATGGGATCACGACGGGGTGGATCTGCGTGAACGCCGGGATCGTGGAGGAGGCGCCCCTGGCGGATGAGGTGGCGGCGGCGCAGGAGGCGGCCGGGTTCGAGGGGTTCGGGAATGCCGGGTGGGGGACGCGCGTGGTCGTGCAGATCTTTACGGAGGAGAAGCGCGCCGAGGTGGATCTAGAAGGGCTCTGGGAGAAGAATCTCGCCCGTGTTGGACGGCAGCGCGAGAGGGAGAGGGCCGAGCGCGAGGATGGGGAGGAGTGGTTGTAGTGTCGTGTAGTCTACCATTTCCAGGTTACGGTCGGGTGTATGATTACGTGGATGCATTTATAGGCGGGGATATGTACATTAGATTCCATTCTGTTTTTGGGGGCCTTTCCCCTGGGTGTTGGGGGAGGGCTGAAAAAATCAAAGCCACATTAGATTGTACATGAATCTGTTGTATATATAGAATATCTCGATATAACTTTTGTGTCAGGGGGTGTTCAGTTGAACACCACGGTCTTGTGGCCGTTGAGCAGCACGCGGTGCTCGGCAAAGTACTTCACGGCGGTGGCGAGGACGTTGCTCTCGACGTTGGAGCCGGCGTGGGTCAGCTCCTTGGGGCTGAGGGCGTGGGTGACGCGGACGACGTTCTGCTCGATGATGGGGCCCTCGTCGAGGTCGCTGGTGACGAAGTGGGCGGTGGCGCCGACGATCTTGACGCCGCGGTCGTAGGCCTGGTGGTAGGGCTTGGCGCCCTTGAAGCTGGGCAGGAAGCTGTGGTGAATGTTGATGATCTTGCCGGACATGGCGTCGCAGAGCTTGGGCGAGAGCACCTGCATGTAGCGGGCGAGGACGACCAGGTCGATCTGGTGCTCGGCGATGAGCTCGAGGATGCGGCCCTCCTGCTCGGCCTTGGTGGCCGCCGTCACGGGCAAGTGGATGAAGGGGATGTTGTAGGTGGCGGCCAGCGCGGCGAAGTCCGGGTGGTTGGAGACGATCAGCGGGATCTCGATCGCCAGCTGGCCCGTCGACGCCCGGAACAGCAGGTCGTTCAGGCAGTGGCCGATCTTCGACACCATGATCAGCACCCGCGGCTTGGCCGTCGCCGACACCAGCTCGAAGGTCATCGCCAGCTTCTCCGCCGTCGGCGCGAACGCCTCCCGCAGCTGCTCCAGCGTCGGCGCCGGCGTGCTCTCCGGCTTGAAGTGCACGCGCATGAAGAATCGCTCCGACGTCGGGTCGCCGAACTGCGACGAGTCGATGATGTTCAGGTTGTTCTGCACCAGGTAGGCCGTCACCGCGTGGACGATGCCCGGGCGGTCGGGGCAGGAGAGGGTGAGGATGTAGCTCATTTTGGTGGAGGATGGGATGTTGAATCGGGAGGGAGAGGTCGCGGTTGGGTGGTTGAAGAGGAGGGAAAGGGATTGGCGCGGGGGGGGGAGAGGAGGTTAAAGAATAAGGTTGTGGAGGTTGTTCAAGGTTCCTGACACGATGCAGAATTTAAGCCGCTGGCGAGAGCCAGAGCCACTGGTGCAGGTTTGCCCCGCCGCTTGCGGCGATGAGTCAATCCGGTCTCGCGCTCACTGGCCCGCCGCCCTGGTGATTGATAAGATTAGGGCCTGCACTCAGGGCTGATCATCTAGGGTTGTCGCTCAGGGCTGCAGATCATTCTGCACGGCTTTTAAGGCTGAGCTAGCATTACGCCAGGCCGCGGGGGGATTTGGTTTTGATCCTGTGATGCAGGGGTCTGGAGTAGCTCAGTAGCTGCATAATCCACCTCGTTAGTCTCTCGCTTTATACTTGCTAATCCCACTCGTCACCTACTTTTTCTCGAAGTGATCGACGATATATAGTTAATGTGTTACCAAAACATGTACCAGTGCACGAAGGAATTCTCAATCAGTACATTCCGTCACTCACTCAATGATATCATTCACAGTGTCCTTTTCTATGATTAAAACGTACCTGCAGTTGCTACGCGCATCAACCACACTTTCAAAGCTGGAAGGTATGATGTCCATGCTCTATGCCTGAGGCACCAAGGTGTCGCCGGAGCGGGAATCCCGACTCCTCAGTGACTGCTAACCCATCACGGAATTCATATCCCGAGGCTTCATCTTATCCCACTTTTTGCCATGACCCCGCAGTCATGGCAATCAAACTTTGTTCATGATTTCTCGCGTGTCCTCAGTCATGTCTCCGAAAAGCAAGTCACCTAAGCCTGCTCGAAAGCATGTGACGACGGCCTGCAACCCTTGCAGAGAGGGCAAGGTGAAGGTACTCGACAAGCCAGGTACAGAAGAGATGCGTCTGCTGATCCCAACATGCATTCTAGTGCGACGGAGCCACTCCCGCTTGTGGGAATTGCGGGGCAAAAGGCAAGAGATGCTCTTATCGCCAAGTTGATGACAGGCGCAAGTAAGCTCCACGTATCCATTCTCCGGTGTCACCGCTCATGAGCTGTTCTTTCTTAGAATCCCGGTACGAGTGAGCTTCGGTGTTTTGGCTAGAAGAATAAACCAGCTGGTACTTTATATTCAAGGGCAGGGCTTGGAACTTCCTTGCATGGACGAGAGCGACAGTTTGATGATCGGAAGCATATTTGATGCGCTTGGAATGGAATGTTATGGTCTTACGACTGGGAAGGATACGTCGACTGCAAAGCGGTACATTGACGACGCCAGATCTGGGGAAGATGTTGTGCTCTCTCCAGATGCAATGCCACCTCATCAGAAGGCGGTTGCCGATTCCTCTTCACCATCGACCGGTGCAGATCCGCAAGAGACTCTAGGCGCGCATAACCTTGTATCCTCAGCAGCACAGCCAGTGCAAGGTGTCTCGGGGAAAGGCTCAAAGGTGCTGAGAGGTGACAAGATAACATGTACATCCCTAAGCATTCAACGGGATGAACTGCCGAACACGAAGGCGATCCCTAGGACGCCTGCTGACTCGGCATGCTCCTCTGACTCCACCGAACCTGGACCTCAACCTCAGCCTAATCCTTCTCATGAAACCGGAGAGGATGAAGAGGATGAGGTTACTAGTCAGCTGTCATGCCGATCAGGACGGCTTCAAGTGATGCATGACGGACAGCTCCGGTACTACGGGTCCACCTCCAACCTCAACCTCCTGGATATCCTCGTCGGTGTCACTCCGCCATGCTCAACAAATGCCCAGAAAGGAGCACACGAAGTCTTAAAGAGTGCGGAGCTTGATGCCCCGGTCGATGAAACATTCGAACAGCATCTGCTGAAGCTCTACTTCACATGGCAAGATCCCTGTCTTCATGTCGTGGACGAACAAGTATTCTGGAGGTCGAGAGCACATAATCTGGACGATGACTTGGATACACCATACTACTCTTTCACACTAGTAAATGCTATGTGGGTGACTACCCTCCATCTTCCATACGCTTTGTGCTCACTGACAATATTGTAGGTGTGCGATCGGAGCTGCGTACGAGCCCCGATACCACCCGAGTCTTGTAACCTTTCCTCGATCGCTCGCCGAGTTCTTTGGTGATCGTGCTAAAGTACTCCTTGAGTTGGAATTGGAGAGTCCGTCACTGGCTACAGTTCAAGCCTTGGTCATCTTGGGCGGGTATGAAGCCTCCTGCACGAGGGATACGCGGGGGTGGCTGTACAGTGGTATGTCTCTGACGTTGGCGAGCGATATCGAAGCCTGAAAGATAACTGACATTGTCAGGAATGGCTATGCGATTGGCCTTTGATCTTGGACTTCATCTGGATATGGCTCCGTACGTGGCCAAGGGCATCATCCCGTTGGAAAATGCCGAGATTCGCCGCCTGACCTTCTGGGGAGCATATATGAGCGAGCAGTATGACCAATCCCTTCCCATCCTAACTCATATCTAACAAGGTACCCAGGTTCTGGGGTTGGTACCTCGGTCGTCATACTCGAAACCAATTGCCGGTGATAACAGTGAAGAAGTTGGATGGGTGCAATGATCCAGGAGCCGAAAAGTGGGAGCCATATGGCTCTCCGACCGCCTCGAACAACGTACCCGCTTTTCCAAACACATTGAAGAAGCTATCCTACGAATGGACCTCTCTCTATGATCTCCCATTGCCACTTACTGATGTTTTGTAAGATCTAGAGTGATGCCCTGGCATTGATGCCGGTCACTAACCCGGGATGCAGATATGACATCTCTTCTATGTCTATACGTGAAATGCAGGAGCTAGCAGCCCACACAGTCGAGAAGCTCAAGTCGTGGAAGGCTGATTTGCCAGCAGAGCTGGACTTTGACGAATCCGAGAGTGGAGTTCAACCTCTTCCGCACGTACTGGCTCTACAGTGAGTTGGAGCGAGATCTGCAAGCCCACCGCTACTGTGGCATATACTAATGTCCAGACAAGCATGCAGTATCATCAGATGATGATTCATTGTCACCGTCCGTACATCTCTCACGTTATCCAGCCTCAGCCACCTCAGGGTCCAGGCTCAGGGCATGCACGCATGACGTGCATCGAGTCGGCGATATCGATAGCGAGACTCCTCGCCCTCTATGAGCGATGCTATAGTTTCCGCCGGGCCAATTATCTCATTGTGTCCTTCGTCTTCTCGGCTGCACTAATTCTTATTTTCATCACGGTACCTCTCAAAGGGGATGACGAAGATCAAGAATTGATGCAGCATTTGAACACTTGTTTCCGTGCGCTAGATGAGATGGGTAGTCGCTTTGAGAATGCGAGACGCACGAATACCTTTCTCACAACGCTGCAGTGCGAGTGGCAGACTCGTCGACGAGACACGAAGGTATCTTCAGGGACCAAGAGGAAGTTGCCGTGCTCGTTCGCAACAACTGGCCGTCGGACTATGACTCGAGATGAAAGCTCCCTACGCTCAGCACATGATCAGAGCTGGTCCGCAGCAGCGGTAGGCCGAACGGGAGAACAAGCAGATGTTGACCTTCAACATTCGACTGATCTTCCTTCCATTGATGATGGCTTGTCTTACTCTCTGGATCTCATGGAGTCTGACTTGTGCAATATCCTTCTCAGCGAGGGGATTCCGAGGGCTTTCGTGTAGCCATTATCAGGTGACGCGCGTGATCGGGTTCTGTATTCCTGGCTGTGGGAATACTATCATGAATTGCTCTCAACTCATTTTAGGACCTCTCACGTTGGAACAAAAGAGCAGTGGGGTCCCTGTGATGACATACTGTGATCGGTTTAATGCATGTCTCTGATGTGAGTCAGCTTCTTTCTTCCGAGTAAGATCATCGTCAAAGACACGACCAATGCAGGGTAAGTCCGGGAAATGAAACCCGGCAGCCAAGACAGATTACAAATACACATCGAAGATATAAAGCCCAGAGCGAGAGCTCAGAACCAGCATAAGACATCCTCTACCAGTTCAAATAATTATCTTCTCTCTGGGATCCTGCACCGTATCGCACTTGACGCACCGCTAAACATCATGACTGGCGATGTGAAACATGCTCTCATCTTCGGGGCATCAGGCATCTCAGGCTGGTCGCTCCTCAACCAGTGTCTCTCATACCCTTCTGCAACGACTTTCAGACGCGTCACAGGCTTGTGCAATCAACCTCTCGCGAAAGAAGAATCCTTCCTTCCCGATGACTCTCGACTGAGAATCGTTCCTGGAATTGACCTCACAGCCTCCGTGGACATCGTTATAGAGCAGTTGAAAACGAAGGTTGAGGAGGTGGAAATGGTGGATGTTGTCTTCTTCTGCGGTAGGTTAGGAATGGCTCCGTCTGGGCTTTCGCCCTATCAACATATCACTCTAACAGCAATGCCTCCTGCACAGCATACATCCAAACCAGCGACCCCGAGTCCCTGAAAAGCATCAACACCCAGATCCTCCGCACGGCGATTGAAGCCATTAACGCCGTCGCGTCCAGCCTGGAGGTCGTCATCCTACAGACTGGCGGCAAAGGATACGGACTGGAGTTCCCCAAGGAAGTCAACTTCCAGGCACCCCTGCACGAAGACCTCCCACGTATCCCCGAGCCATGGCACAGCACGATCTTCTACTACAGCCAGTATGATCTCCTGACGGAGCTATCCCAGCGGCACGGCAGATGGACCTTCTCGGAGATCCGACCCGATGGCATCGTGGGATTTGCTCCCGGCTCTAACGTCATGAACATGGCGCAAGGCATTGCGTTCTACCTGACGCTCTACCGGCAGGTTCACGGGGAGGGCGCCCGCGTCCCGTTCCCGAGCAAGCCGGCCGGGTACCACGCCTCCCACAGCGATACCTTTCAGGACGTTTTGTCCAAGATGGAGATCTTTGCCGCGTTGAATCGCGACCGGTGCGGCAATGGTTCGACCTTCAATTCTGCGGACGGGGAAGCGGTGCGCTGGGCGCAGGTCTGGCCTGGATTGTGTGCGTACTTCGGATTGGTGGGGTGCGAGCCTGATGGCGAGCAGAGAGCTTCCATGCAGAAGTTTGTCGAGGCGCATGGGGATACGTGGAAGTCCCTGGTTGCGAGCAAGGGGCTGAAGGAGGGATTGATCGAGACGCAGAATTGGGACCATGTTCGCTTGATGCTCGTAGACTTTGATTTCGATCGCCAGTATTCGCTGGATAAGGCCCGGGCGGTGGGTTTTCGTGAGTCGATCGACACGGTCGAGGGGTATAGGGTTGCTTTCGATCGGATGGCCAAGGCGCGACTCATTCCTGCGTTCAGGTAAGGGAAGTACCGGTAGTATGTCATATTAAAGGAGTCTCAGTGACTCTTTAAGAGCGACGTTCCTGGCGGCAGCATGTCTATCTAGCAATATTACATTGGTCTCTACAACAGCTCTTGGTGGCCTACTAACCGAAGTACCCCCACACCAAAGTACTGACAGGCCTGTATATTCAGTAGACATACTTCCCACCTCGTATTTGCCCGGGTCACGAGCAACCTTCAAGGCGTCTACGGCACTGCAAACCTAGACAAGACACCGAACAAAGCCAGACCCTCCTGACGACCAACTGACATAAATACTTACCCCGCGTGTCATACCCCCAACACAGTAACTTATCTCCCAAAATCGCGACTCCAGACAAACCGCACCGGCCACTCCGATCTTAACAGTGACCTTCGCACCCTCATCCTCAATACATAAAACCACACTCTATCAAAAACAACACAATGCCTCCCACCGAACCCCCATCTACACCCCCAGAACCCATCCCCCGAACCATGAAAACCTACACCTTCATCCACCCCGGCCCCCCCAGCACCACCCTCCACCTCAACCCAACACACCCCACCCCCACCCTATCAACAGAAACCTCCCTCCTCATCCGCATCTCCCACATCGCCCTCCACCCCGGCGCAACCCACATGATGCAACTCCTCCCCGCATGGACCCGGCACTTCCCCGCCGTCCCCGAAACAGACTTCTCAGGAACGGTGGTATCCACCGGCGCACGCGTACCGCTCGTCCCGCCACCACCCCCGAATGCGCATCGCTTCTTCCCGCCCGGCACGGCGGTCTTCGGGTCGATTTCCGTGGCCCAGCACCTCAGGAACGGCGCCGGCGCGCTGGGCGAGTACCTGATCGTCGAGATGGGGGATGTGGCCCGTAAGCCGGAGGGTGTTTCGTTGGCGGCTGCGGCCGGGTTGGGGGTTTCGGGGGTGACGGCGTTGGCTTTGGTGGATGTGGTGGAGGGGGTTGTCGGGGGTTTAAAGGGTGGGGAGAGGGTGTTGGTTAATGGGGCGTGTGGTGGGGTGGGGCATTTTGTTGCGCAGATGTTGGCTTCGAGGCCTGAGGTGGTAGTTGTAGGGGGTTGTTCGAGGGAGTCCGGGGAGGTTGCGAGGGAGGTGGGGTGTGTGCAGGTGGTGGATTATCGGGGGCTGGAGGGTAGGATTGATCATGAGAACGAGGAGGAGGAGGAGGAGCTAGAGGCGTTTGATGTCATTGTCGATGCGTATGGGTCGCAGGGTCTGTGGTATGCGGCGGAACGGTGGTTGAAGCCTGGCCCCGGGCATGTGTATGTCTCCGTTGGGCCGGCGTTGGAGGCGTATACCTTCCGCAGTGCGGTGGGGGTGTTGGTTAAGCAGATGTTGAATCGGCTCTTGCCGGTGTGGCTGGGTGGGATAGACAGACAATATCGGCAGGTTACGGCTTGGGTGGATGCGAAGAGGTTGGAGAGGCTGAGGGTGTTGGCTGAGGAGGGGGTCTTGAAGACGTGGATTGGCGGTGTTTGGGGGTTCGAGAATGCGATTGAGGTGAGTGGCCCAGGTATTCGTGGTCAAGGTTGCTGGCTGATGTGGTTGCTAGGCATATGAGGTCTTATTGAGTAAGCATGCGAAGGGCAAATTGGTCATTCGTGTTCAGGATGAGGTACTGTCTAGGACTGGAGATTGAGGGGGTTCTATTTCTAATATACATTCTTTGGTCGCATTGCGAAGGCATTTGTCCTTGAAGGAGCTGCTGAATGAGCACGAGTAAAACCAGAAAACCAGGACTTGTTGTTGAGAATACTGTTTCAGGAAGAGTTGTACCAGGCTTAAGGAAGGGCAAGGGGAGCATGAACGTCTGACTTCATTTTACATTCACAAATGATACCCATCCATCATGACAATTACAAGAAACAGTCCCATTTACGCACAATGTTACGGAAACCGATCTCCAGGCCTCAAGATCAGCCTATGCAGATACTACCAAGGCTAATTATTGCTCCATGTCACAAGAGAACAATCTTCCCAACATACGTGAGGTTGATGCAGCTGTCTAATGGTTCTCTAACTATAGCCTGATGCTGACACGATCGCGGAGCCCTGCATAAACACCTGCAATGCAACAATCCAGAAAAAAATTATAGGAGCATGTCGTACAGAGTATGCATTGGCCAGAATTCTCCTTGGAGAGTCATTTTTCGCAATCCTTCAATGCCGAGTGGTTGTTTTCAAAATCTCCACGTGCAAGGTGATGTTGCACGAGAATACGAGGCAGGGATCCGGCGCATGGGCACTTCCTGCTGCTCAACCATCGATGCTACTACATCATGACACTATGAGCTTCTTGACATGCGGTTGGAATGCTTACAAGCATTACCTGAAGTCGAAGTCGCCGCGGTCATCCACGACACTCTACAAAGCCCAACACAGCATCGCCCTAATTCCCTGGGCGTCAGGATTCGAGCCCCGAAGGGTTATCCATGTCAAGTAACGTCTGACTCAATGAGTTGATGGTTTTGGATTCAGGTCATCATGGGTAGACAGGATCATCCTTAGATCAGTAGTGAAGCACAACTGCCTGCATCTGGCATTGGTGCAAGTTATTTTCGAGACTCTTGCTGGTTCTTGTTTGTGGCACCGCACACGGCAGCTGGCCCGACTCCGCGGGGATCGAGATGCCAATTAGACCGGAGAATTTTTTCATTGGTGTTCATTCGAATAAGCTGGTGAGATATGAAGTAGAATATGCAGATTGGTGGTACTTTGATCCACTGTACATTTAAGTAACGGTGTGAGTATTCCGATTATCAAACTTCGACTGCAGTCTCCTCGCTCAAAGAAGACTTACAATGCGAAGATGGAGACCGATGAACTTCTGAATGATCTCATTACGCCTGGTGCACACCCGCAGAGACTTACTGCGCTCTAGAGGAAGGTCATCGTCGTTTTCATGATGATCGAGAACGCGAAGCTGTGCATCCCTGTTCATCTCCTCCAGAGTAGCGCCGTATCAAGTCAGAACCAAGCCAGTGACTCAGACCAGAATCCTTCAGACTTGCGTCCCGGGTCTACATTGCTCTTGACGAGGCCAAGCTGTCTACGTCGTGAGGAGATCACTCAACAAAGAAAGCCTAATTCATCCCTGCCAGAGGGAAAAGTATGGCTCAAGCTGGCAGCCACACAGTCAGCCAGACACATTCTTTCTGTGGTTAACTCTATCGCTTCGTATAGCAACAAGTCTCCGCGTGATGGGCATCAACAGATACGTAAAACGTCAGCCTTTTTTTCATCATTGGTTGGCTTTGGGCCTTCTATTCTCTGCAATGCGAGAATGCGGTCTTTTTGAATTGTCAGGCTCATTCTCCGTCTCGAATGTCCGTTCTTGTGGAACAAGGAGTGCAATTCTCAGGGCTATTGTCGATGTGCGAAATGTGATGACAACAACCAGAGGGGCACAATGGAGAGGAGTAAGGTATAAGTAGCGCCATTTTACCCTGGAATCCTCACTCATCAAGCAACGCTTACATACCTACAGTTCTACTCGCCCTATATCCTCCTCTCTCTCATCACCATCCCACTTGAACCCAGGCCCATCTCATTCACTCCTCAACTGAAGCCCCCGAGACATCAATATGCAACTCACCCCTCCCACCAGTGCCACCCTCCTAACCACCGCAGGCGCAGTCGCCATCTACAAACCCGCCGCCGGCGACCAAGTCGACGTCTCCAAGGACTGGCAAGTCTGCTACAATGCCGTCAAGTAGGTAGCCCGCATCACCACCAATCCCTTTACTCCGCCCGCAACTGTCACCTGATTAAAAAATACTCTCCAGCACTGACCCCCAGCAATTCTGCCTCTACCTCACCAACTTCGTCGAATACCTTCCGCAGATCCTCGATCTGCTCAACCACCAGCCGGTGCAGCGGGGCGCGGGCTGCGTGACGATTCCTGGGAAATGTTATCCGGGACTGCGGACGACAAGGTACGTAGCCCCACACCCCGGGTACTATCCAGACTTTGTTGGGATAATGGGTTCTAACAGCGTGGATCAGTCCCTATCGCGTGCGGGCGGCGGAGTGCGCGGATCCGAATACGATCTACGCCGAGTCCGGGGATTTCTGGCCGTCTCAGTCCAAGTGCCCAGCGACGACTCTTACTAGGGTTGTCAGGGAGTAAACGGAAGTGGAAGTCTGGAGATGGTATTCAACATACCTATGTTTTGATGTTTTGGGGTTTCATGCATTTGTCTTTGGATGGTGGGTGGAAAGATGATGGGCTCGACGTGGAGGGAGCGGATCTCAACAACGCCGGTCAAGGGCCACCAGAGGTTGGATTGATCGGACGTAGGAATTGCTGTATGGATGCAATTACATGGTTGTGAAGTGTACCGGTCGTCCTTGGCTACTCTTGATCATAGACTTTAGAGCGGAATGCATCGTACCCGTAGTCAGGGAGGTGGGACCGGGAAATAGTTCGAGGAAAGTCTAGCGATGGCACGTTCTGTGCACGAGGGCCGTCGGGTTCAGGCCTTTATGCTGAGCAGAGAATTCGTACGTATGTCGGCCTCAGCCTGTTAACCATTATACTGTAGCTCTCGAATAGCCGCGCGATTGATTTTGAATGTCTCTGAGATAGAGCTCCATGGGGATGTGATTGGTGTAACTGCTGCAAATTCAGTCGCAGGCCGCAGCAGCCCTCGCATGCATCAATTCAATTTTTGGCTGTCCGATGCAGGAACGGCTGCGTGATCATATACTGTGCATTCCTGCGGCATTAAGACAACACCTCCGCATCAGAAACCACGGACGACCTAGCCGCTTATCCCTGACCAGAAAGTTCCAGCAGGACCCATTCTGTGAACGAGTATCCAGTGCATGTCAAAAAATCGAGATTCTATTGTTCCTGTCCGAAGATGCAACTATACAGATATATGCTGGAAACCCATCACAATGAAGAAAAGAAAAGAAAAGAAAAGAAAAGAAAAGAAAAGAGATCCCCGAGCAGTGCCGGGCCAGAACAGGGGCCGCGATTGTATCGCCGCCCGGCCTGGAAAGTGGACGCCGACCGTGGCTGACCCCCGGGGTGTGATGCAGAGGACCTCGCGTAGACAAATAAAAGTGGTATCCCAAAGTCGAATTTTGCTGAAACTAACGCGCGCGCGAGACTGATGACTTCAATTGCGTATTCATATGTTGTCCCTGTTTATAGGGAGGTGTTGGGCTCGGCCTCCTCGTCCTCGACTTCCCAATCGCCGATGATCTCGGTGGTGTTACGCTTGCGCATGGTGGAGATCCATTGGGCCTTTAAGTGATGAAATCCTTCGGTTAGTCCATGGTCTTTGACGGAAGTGAGTTGATGAGAAAAGTTGGAAGGAGTAAGCTCACCTCGTAGGATGTGAACTCGCCGTTGACGCACTTGCCGGGCTGCAGGGCGTATCCTTCACCGGCACACTTGGCGGACTTGTAGGCAGTCAACACCAGGTCACCCGGAGTGGCCTTGATCGACTTCCACTTGGAGCTGGCGAGAGTGCCGCACTCTTCTAGGTTAGTACCATCGGTGGAGGAGCCATCGGCGTCGCCTTTGCAGTCCTTCTCGGTGTATCCCTTGATCTCGTAGGCTTGAATGGAAAGGCTGAGGGCCAGGGCGACAAGGAGAGATTTGAGCTGCATGTTTGGATGATGAGGATGAGGATGAGGATGAGCAGAAGAAAATCGGTCAGTGATCGAATGGATGGATTGTTGGAGGTGAGAGAATGACGGGGAGTTGAGTATGGCGAAGGGAGGAGACAGAGCGGGCGGTCGGTCGGTGGTGGTCTTGGGTTTCAGGAGAGAAAAGAGGAAAGAACTTCTAGCCTCAACAAACAGGCTTCCAGGCTTCAAGGCTTCAGGGGTGGGTCAGGCACACCCGATTGTATTTGTTGCTATTTGTCCATCCCCTCAGCGCCGCTGGGGCGAACCATTCCTGTTCGGTGAAAGATTGGATTGCAGCGTGCCAAGTTTAGAACCTCTGACGACGACCACTGCGAGCCAGATTCATGTGTTTCATCGTTCTGGAGAACTGTGCAGCACAGCCAAGCAGCTGATTCTCCTTGGCAGGAACACTGCTACTAGGTACTCCGTACGGATGTATGAGTATGATGCAATTGACAAGCAATAATCTAATAGTCGAATCGATGGAGCAAGGCATTGTACTGAGTACTGTAGTATTGTGCGTCCCCCCCCTGGTCGCTCCAGCCTACTACCGAATGGGGCCGATCGATCAAATGTGGCCACTCGAAAACAACGCCACCCCACGCCCCAGCCTTGACCTGACACCGGGCCGATAGGAAAAGCAGTGCATGCTGAGACAAATGCGACAATCGGCCAGACCTCAGCCTTGAACCTTTTACTTTCGTTCCTGCAGCTGGACTCGGTCAATTGGAAGAATATAAAGAGGATTGGTCACGTGTGCACTTCTCCATGTGGTCACGTGAGTGACCTTGACACCGCACAGCACAAGCTGACTAAGTCAACTCATAATTGGTGGTGGACAATCATAACTTAGGTAGTTACTTTCTCCCCTTCAACTTAGCACCTTCAAGCTACGGGCCAGATTTGCCTTTTTCAATAGGTCTCCTATCGTTCGATTTATAAGCAGTTTATCTTCCATGAATTACTTTGAACTGGCCCGAAAAATTGCCTTTCCCAGGATAAATATGGCTGGCAAGCACGATGATATATGTATCTCGAGGCCTCAACCTTCGGAGAGCTGCCTGGCTGCCGCGATCACATTTGCAACTCCAAAAAACGCTCTATACTTCACCTGAAGTCAAAAATGAGTACTAGTTTGAGATAGTTCAATGTTTCTCGTCCGAAATCTATAAATCAATCAAAGAGGATGATCGTTCGAATGCTGGATGGTCTTGCGAATATCCGAGGCACAGTCAGGACACCGAGAAGCATTTTGTTTCACCGCAGCTCATTTCATCTACTTAGCACCCCGACTACTGTTCGATCCGATGGCCATTTTCAGCACCGGCAGGACTCGAAGTTGCGGTAGCAGTTTTCCCCGCCTGGACGTCTTCGTGGCCCTTCTCGACCGGTGTCTCGGAAGTAGCCTCTTCCTCATCTCGCGCATCAAGATGTACGTTACGCAGGAAGAACATCACAATCAGCATCGGAGCCAAAGCCGCCAGAGCAGCAATTGCCAAAAGGCGCTGCGACTCCCGATAGCTGCGGTCAATAGCATCACGAGCAGCCGTGCCAGGTTGATATTTCTTCGCCACGACAATAGAGCTGAAGATGGTGTGCGCCTGGGGTTTGAGCGCATCGGGAAGATATTGCTCCAGCTTCTTGGGGAGGGTGCTTCGCCAGATGGCGCCAGCCACACTAATTGATACACTGGTCAGAATACGCCGATCGCACAAGTACAGGCGGGACAATTACCTAGTTCCAATGGCTCCTCCTACGCTCATAGAAGCAAAGAATACTGCCGTCACGACGGAGACTTCCTGTCTGGACACGACGGCTTGGACGGAGACCTGAGCTGCGGTCTGGTAGAAGCCACGCCCGATTCCGATCAGCGATTTGGCCGTGACAAAGGCCGCCTCGCTTCCTGTTTTGCCATTGCCCATATCCACAAGGTAAAGAACAATGCCCATGCCGAGCACACAGAGGGGGACGCCCCCAAGAACCCAAATTTGCGAACGACGAGTGTATTTCATGAAGAGCGAGGCGAAGATCCCTGCCACTTGAAAAGCTACTCGCAGAGAGTTGCTGCAGTCATCAACATTAGCATTTGGTTTGATTCGAGAGAGTCATGTGTTATAGCATACTCAATCCGGGTGGCATTTCCAGCCTCAAAGTGTCCAGCTACTTGCAGGTAGCTTGTGAAGAACACTGTGAAGACGGAGTAGTGGAAAAAGTCCAGGGCGCCCAGCAGGCAAGCGGCGGCCACGGTGCGGTTGCGGATCATCCGGTATGGGACAAATGGCTTCTTCGCGAACCAGGCATCCCACGCCAGGAAGGCAATTACAAACACCACGCCCATGACAAGCATGGCAATGAAAGAGCCGTTGTGTTGCCAGGCACCACTATTGCCCGAACCAGTCAGGGACAGTGGGATCAAGAACAGCGACAGCCCCAATAGAAGTAGCACGGCCCCCGGTAGATCCAGTTGAATCCACAGGAGATCATAGACCCGACGCCACCAAGGATCCTCGCTTTTCCACCCCAAAGCCGTACTGATGCGGACTCGTCGAGGGGAACGGTGCTGGTAAAGCACCATGCTTCCGACCAAGGGTGCTGCAGCAACGGGCAGCACAATTGCCCACATACCCCATCCCCAGCGCCACGTCGAGTGGTCGAGAATGTCTTGCGCAACGATCGTGCCTAGGTATAATGTCGGGATAGTTGTCAGGGAGTCGGGCAGTGTCGACCAGATACCTCGATTGACCAAGTTCGTTACGTCGGCGACGAATACTTGCTGGGTAAGGGCATAACCTGTTGAACCGATGGCTTCGAAGATTCCGGCGGCCTGCTCGTTCAGAGGAAGGGTCAGGTATGCTTATAATGCTAATAGAGGAGAGCATACCATATACTGCGAGATGTTCTTGCAGCATGCATAAATGACATAGCCGAGTACCTGGGCGATGATTGAAAGGATGAACATTTCAGCTCGGCCAAAGACCTGGAATTGTTGTCAGCATGGAGATTGAAGAGGTACAAGGCTTTAGTACATCGCCCAGTTTAGCAATGATCGGATATGAAGCAATGCGGGTGATGTTCATAACCACACGCGCAGCACTCATGGCCGAGTGCTGCTTGAAGGCGCTCGTCGTGTATGCAGTGTAAACCTGGGTGGAATAGTCGGCAAAGTTGACGGCAAAAGTGGCCAGGAACAGGCTACTACAGTCAGGCATGATCAGAACATTGCGAAGTCCGACACCTACCCAACGAAAGCAATGATCAAGCCTGTCTTGGACCAGATCCTCCGCAACTGCTCTGCTCTCTGGACACCAGCCTGAAGGCTCTCCGAGTCCGCCTGAGGGTTCTGCTCATGCTTGGTACTTTCCACTGAATGCTGAGTTGTGATCTCGGCCATGTTGGTTGAGGCGGGAGCAAACGACTCTTTTGTCTCTACGGACAAACTCATGGCGCTGCTCATCGTGGGTCTGCTTTTTTGCTTGCACGACAGCAGTCCTTCGACCGAAGGAAGTCGGCGCAAGAAATAAGAATTTTGACCGCATGCCCAGCGGTGGCGTTTATTAGCATCAGGCGACGCCGAGCTTTTTTTTCGTGCATAGGTCCGGCTTCTAGCACTGACTCATGCAGCCATAATTCCTGATGCCTCCACTGGCAATTCGTATAGGTCGTTCGATTGTGTACAGCGGCTTCGGAGATCTAATCTAATCTGGCGATGCCACGCGAGATGTCGGACGACCCCCGTGAGAGTTGGTCATTCCAACTCCGCAGACCCCGTTTTCTTGCCTGGACCTTCTCTGACTGGCCTGAGGGAAGTTCAATTCCGGATCAGATAATGGATGCCAAGGGCGCCAAGCGGAGCCAAGACCGTCCGCTGAAGGCAAAACGAAGCATCCGTCGGAAGCAGCGTGGGGGTGCACAATCAATCTGCTTCCGATCCGGCACCGAACATTTTCCGTCCCATTTGTGTGTCATAAAGGTACCCTTGTGTCTTTCTTGTGACTGTGACCATAGTTGAAACCGCGACAACATGACTCAATGGACCTTTGCCCGATCCGATAACGGCGGAGTCCCGAATGTGGCAGCATGGACTGTTTCCAACGCACAGGGATCATCTTATCAGATCCAGCTTGCGTGGCCGCTGAGCTGGAACACTTTACAGGTCTTGGCCAAGGTCAATCTTGTGTAAGTCTGCCAGCACATCTTGCGCCGAGGTTGAAAAGTTTGGCGACTCACATGAGCTAGTTACCTTGTTGACGGAAACGCCGTCTTCGGAACTGCATTGGATGCTGTTCGTCGCCATCGGCCTGTTTCACCCGATGAGCCGGGGCCTATCGTCGTCGCGATTGGCTATCCCTTGACCGACAGGGTTTATGATCCTCGCCGTACGGTGGACTTGACTCCACCGTGCGAGAGTTATGTTCCCCCAAACGGGCCCGATGGCGAGCCCCGTCCTGAACCACATGGCGGGGCGGACCAATTTCTGTCCTTCATCAAGAGGACTGTTGAGCCATTCATATTGTCTTCGGTTTTTCCTTCCGTCACACCCGTCAAGACTGCCCTGTTCGGCCATTCGTACGGGGGCTTGTTCGCGTTGCATGTCCTGTTCACGCGACCGGAGAGTTTTGACACTTTCTTAGTGGCGAGTCCGTCAATCTGGTGGAATGACCGGTTCATATTGACGGAAGAGGACCAACTCTATGATAGCCCTGCACTTCGATCTCTCCCCAGGGTGCGCCTCTCTTATGGATCTCAGGAACAGTTTCCGGCCCGTCGTCGAGGAGAATCGCAGGATGTGTACGAAAGACGGAAGAAAGGTGCTGCCCAGCGTCGTATGACAGACAACTGCGATGAGCTGTACCAACGACTGACCTGTAGTGGCCGGGTGATGTGTGAGAAGAGGGTATATATCGACGAAGATCATGGAAGTGTCATTGCCCCTGCGTTGAGTGGGGGAATTTTGTTCTTTTTGGATTCAGTTCCAATGGGACCTTGATTCCACCTGAGCCAATTTGGTCCATTTTGAGGAAAAGAGAGTTGATCTGGTTGTTGTGGTTTTGGCGTGAGAGAGAGAGCTCTGGGAACTCATCGTATAAGTCCGATATATATTCCCGACAGAATCTTCTGCACACGGCACACAAAAGCCACCATGTCCCTACCCAGACTATCTATCATCCTCACGGTCCCCATATCTGTCCTGTATACATATTTGTCTTTATGGCATGCTTCTCGCCCCGGGAGATGCCCGGGGTGATGACTAATTTGGCGGCGAAGGCACGGACGGAACTCCGCCCGTCGGCGGGGTCATTTATCGCTACCTTGACCATCCCAACTACATCCTTCGTTCATGCACAAAAGAACAGGTCTCATCTGAGAACCACCCGGATAGATCGTGATGCAGGCTCTATTGGTGTTAGATGACTGCTGATTTTGATTGCAAATATCACGTTATTGATTAGAATGGATCCATCGCCTTTGGCCCGACGTCGAGACCGTCGGGCTGCCCCCCGCAGCTGGACCACCACGGCATGCGCTCGCTGCCAAAAAAGAAAGATTCGGGTAAGTCCCTTCTGCATGATTGATGACAGTGAATGCTGGTCTTTTCACCTGACTCAGGCATTAATGGATTTCAGTGCGATGGGGTTGTTCCTGTCTGTGGCGGTTGCCAACGGGCCCGTGTGGACTGCACTGAGGGGTGGAATGTCCGGGACATTTCCCGTTAGTAAGCTAGTCTCGCACTGTGATTACCTAGTTGGCGCTGAAGTTCGTATTGACACCTAAATACAGTCATGTGGAAGAGCTAGAAATACGCATTGAATGGCTGGAGTCAATCATACAGGAGCACCTGCCACATATTGACCTCAGCAAGTTTGACTCTGGTCACTTGAATCATCCTCGGAGCTCTGAATACGGAGTGTCTACAAATTCTGCTACTTTCCAGACCCCTGTTCCGCAGACTGCGCATACTAGAGATGGCTGGAACCCAGCTCGTGACGTAACGGACCAACTAGGTTTGGTATCGGTCAATGCTGGGGCAGATCTGCGCTATCTAGGGCCCTCTAGTGGGCTGTTCTTCACGAGATTTGTGCTGACAGGCCTAGAGCGGCGAGCTGAGATAGCACGAGAATCACCCCCTGCTTCGAAGAACGATCAATTTGTCCCTGCGGAGCTTCTCGATATCCAACCGAAAGATCTGCCATCGGACTTAAAACAGGCGCGATGGTTGACGCAGGCATATTTTCAGGCGGTCCATTTACAGTTCCCGTTTTTTCACAGACCCACTCATCTGGAACTTCTTCAGAAGGCTTACAGCGGCGTGGATGTCACACCTATTGATCATTTTCAGATTTCCTGGTTTTGGCTATCGGTGCCACCATTCGATCTCGCCAAGCAAAAGTGCTACTTTCAGCTGAAGGCTACTGCGCCTCTGCAATCCTCCATTTGGATGCCGTTTTTCATAAATCTTCTCTGCGCGGTGTGCAGTGCATGCTGCTTCTACAAATGTACACGATCAACAACCCAACCTCGGGGATCAGCCTTTGGACCCTCCATTATAACTCCCTGGCCGCCGTAATGGAGCTCGGACTGCATCGCAATGTTCAGGGCTCTGCCTTCACCGAGTTCGATCAGGAGATGCGCACCAGGGCTTTCTGGTGCGTCGATATGATGGACCGCTTCTTGAGCACCTTACTCGGCAGGTTGATAGGTTTAATAGACGAGCAATGCGACTTGAGGGTACCTCACCCGTACCGTACATATCTATTGAAGAAGAAGGCACTGAACGTTACAGTTACCGCGAGAAATCAATGATGAAGACCTGAAGCCCAACCAGGAGATACCGGCTCCAGCCACTGGAGCTATAACCGATTTGTCTAGCGCAATCCATCTCTTCAGGCTTGCCCGGTTCAATGCCGAGATCAAATGTGTGCTATATTGTGTCGACCGAAATTATCCCCCATACACGCAGCCTGCTATAACGGACGTCAAGGGATGGCAGGAAGATATGCTGAACCGTCTGCGCCAGTGGAAGTCGTCCATCCCGTGCCATCCGCCAGATAGCTCCGCATGCTATCTGAATGACCTGCTAAAAATCAAATACTACGAGCTCGTGATGCTGGTCGTACGCCCGAGTCCGCTCTTCAATCATCCCTCCAGAAGCCTGATTCGGCAATGCTTCCATTGCGCCTTGGAATGTATTCAGCTCTACCATAAGCTTTACGTGAATAGTATGCTGCACTATAACTGGATGAATGTACAGTCGTTTTTTCTATGCGTGGTGACGATATTCTATTGCGTCTGGGCACCGGACGGGGTGGGTGACGAAACCGACCTTGATACTGTTTTACACGCACTGAAGTCCGCGTCCGACATTCTCAGCGCCACCGGAGAGTACTGGCTCGAAGCCAAACGAAGCCGTGATGTGTTGGATGGCATCGCAAGGGCTACGGTACGGCGGTTCGCGCGGAGTCTTGCGCGCGCGGGCCAGTCCTCGCCATCACATCCAGGGGGCGACATCCATCGCAGCCCTGGTGATCAAAGGATAGCTGGATTGAATAGCTTGGATACTGGAGCGTATGCCGCTGGTATCGGACAGGCCGAACAGATCTTATTTGATCCGTACTATGTCCCAACGCAGCAGCCCGCTGCCACATCCGAGCTCCTGTCGTTCTTTGCGGGGTTCCAGTCCGACACGACTTGGACTGGTGGAACCTTCCGTGGGATCTACCGGGCGGGATGGGAGATATGATGCAGAATATGGTCTCTGGATGCCAGTAGCTTGATATCTTTGCCAAGGGCCATGGATATCTGAAACTGTGAGTGCGGGTCATCGAGCGGTGTACGCCCGGATACCTGGACCTAGAGACCCCAGGGGGGAGGTGGAATCCTAGCTGAACGATTTGCTGGGGGCTTATTCGAGACAGCACATAACAAGTTAAGCAATAGAAACTGAGAAGCATTTATCTATGACAGGGAGCCGGAAGCGATGGTTGCGGATGTAGCTCCGCGATGGTGCCCGCATACCCCGCACCATTAGTCTGCTCATACTCATATAAGTATCTTGTCTTTTCAACCTCTTTGCCCTGGTAGCCATCTTCCTCGCCCACAACATACATACACCCTTACACATAGAAACGAACTCACATATGTACAATGCCCCTCTACGAGGTTGAGCATAGCATTCCCCTCGACAAGCCCCAGCGCGATGCCCTCGCACAGGCCATTACCCACATCCACACCCGCCAGTTCACCACCCCGAGCCTGTTCGTGAACATCAAGTTCGTGGACACCCGAACCCAGCACAACTATGTCGCGGGGAGGGAGGTTCGTAGTCGCACCTCACTATCCTTTCTCCTTACGTGAAAGCAAGGCCAGCCTGACAGTACGATGAAACCTCGAATAGAGAAGCATCAACCGCATCATCGCCTACGTCCGCACCGGCGGTTCCCGCACCCACGCCGACTTCGAAGAGACCTCGCTGCGCATTGCCCAAGCATGGGATCAGATTGTGAATGCAGGCGGAAAATTCGGGAAGGAGCGGGAGTTGAGCCGGGTGTTTGTGATGGGGGCGATTGTTGCGGGGCTGGAGTATGGGGTGTTATTGCCTAAGGCAAGCCTATCTTTCTTTGTGCTATTGCATCGCGGGCACCACTACTAACTCAGATTATGAATTTTAGGCGGGTGAAGATGGGAAATGGCTGGCACAAAACACGGAGAGGTTTCAGGAGCTGGCGGAGCAGGGGGATGAGGATTTTCGGGAGTTGGTGGAGGAGATCAAGGGGCGGGAGGATTTGAGGAGGTAGACTTTAAGTTACAGTGCATGATTCGGTGCCTTTGGGAGGGGTCGAGAATACATACTCATACAGAGCTTCCTAGGGAATAACTTGCACTACTAACTACAAGTCACTAAATACCAATTTGCGATGACGGGACACATTCCCGTTGTCTCTTGCCGAACTGCGGCCGTGTCTCTGTCTTTACGGGGAGATGCCCGCTCCGCTGCGGTGGGGGCTCCGCCTGGCCGTGCCCTAAGACGGGGCTGGGACCGCAGCGGCTCGTGTGTCCGCTTAGGCTTGGATTTTTGTCCTAGTTCAAATTGATTTTGATCATTACAGCCCGATACCATTAGCTTGGTACTCCTCACCTATGATATACCACACAGATATTGACCCTATCTCACTCAGAATCAATACTTTGAGGCTTATTTAGTGACTCGGATAGGATTATTAATCATTGCATATGTCTATCATGAAAAAGTCCTCATCTGAGCGATTTTTGGTCCCTGAGGATAAAGATCTCTGTACGAGGCTGTTGTCTATGAGGAGCAAATGTGATCAAAGAAGTTCCGCTGATGGATGGCCGCTTAATGCTCATTGACAAGCACGTACCGATACCGGGCCTTGCCAGCGTCCATGTCCTGAATGGCCTGGTTGGCCTCCTTCATCGGCACCTCCTCGACCCACGACCGTACATTCTTGCTCGCAGCGAGCTCCAGCATCTCCCGAATCTCACCGGGTCCCGCCATCAGTGAGCCCGCGACTTTCAGGCGGCGGAAGACAAGAGCTTCCGCGGGGATGGGCAGGGTGCCGTCCTCGGGCACACCGAGCTGATGGAAGCAGCCGTCGGTTTTCAGCAGAGAGAGGTAATCACGAAGAGGCATCTACCACTCGATTAGCATCGCTGCGAAGAGTACAGGACAAATCAGTACATACCTTGGAAGATGAAACGGTAGAAATAATCAGATCCAACGACCGTGCATTCTTCTTCGCCCAGTCCGGATCCTCCGCAGTGGCAATATAGACATCCGCCCCCAGCGCCAAAGCGTCCTCCCTCTTATCCCCGCGCCTCGAGATGGCAACGACCTTCTCTGCACCCAGCGCTTTGGCAAACTGAATCGCATAGTGCCCTATGCCCCCGACCCCAATCACAGCCACCTTCTTCCCCGGTCCGCACCCATTCTGCCTCAGCGGGGCGTAGGCCGTAATCCCAGCGCAGAGCATTGGCGCCGCGAGCGCCGACGGGATCGCGTCAGGGATCTTGACCACGAAATGCGAGTGCGCGCGGTGGTAGAGGGCGTAGCCGCCGTAGGACTTGGCCCCGTTCCAATGCCGCGCGTTGTACGTCAGCCCCAGCAGGCGCGGGCAGTAGGTCTCCCGGCCGGACGAGCACTCCTCGCAGGGCCCGTCGCGATCCAGGCAGGCGTCGTTCTGGGCGCCGACGCCCACGCGGTCGCCGACTTGGATCTTGTTCTCAGCCTGCGAGCCGACGCGCACAGCAATGCCGACGATCTCGTGGCCCGCGCAGCAGGGGTACATGGCTGGGCCCTGTAGCGGACGTTCAGTTGGATATGGTCGACGAGGTCGGGGGCTTGGAGGCTGAAAGACTTACCCAGCCACTGCGGAGAGTGTGCAGGTCGGTTCCGCAGATTCCGCAGTGGGTGATTTTGATGTCGACGTCGGTCTCTTCCCAGGGTTTGGGTTCGAACTCTTGCCAGACCATCTTGCCCTCACTCGCTTCGGGGCCGAGGCCCATCCAGCCTTCGAATTTGTACTCGGTCGTCATGGTGTTGGTTGAGAGTTTTGGTGTGTCGGGGCGATTAGGGCTCTAAACGGAGAAGCTGGGCTTGGAATTCAGGAGCATCCTTCTTCGCCCGGATCAGTGTACGCTTTATAGCCCAGGTTTGAAGAGGCCACAACCTGCTCGGTCGCAATATCGGACGGATTACAGCAACATAGTGCTCATAGCTGACGCTATCGCGTTAGTTCGGCTCGGATATGACCGTCTCCGAGTGAATACGATCCCGCGGAGTGTTCCCCGTCGCTCTAGCGGATGCCGCTCCGTGAGGCAATACGGGACCACGACTAATCATGATATTGATATCTCCGTACAATCAACCATCTCGGAAAGATTATGAGCGATGACAAAAGGGTCAGATTGTGGAACCTTCGAAAGTCCTCCAATCATGACCACATGCATTTAAAACGCCCGTGGCTTGAATGCGGCTAGCTATAAAGCTCTCCCGTCGTAATCCAAGTTTGATGCCAGCCCCAATTTCTTCCTCTTTAGTCAATCACCCCTGAGAAATCACACACAGCCCCTTTATCATGTCTCCTCTAACCGCACTACGAGCCGACCTCTACGCCGCTCCCTCCATCCCCACCAACGCAACATTACCCGATGGCTCGATTGGATACTGGCAACCGACGGTGGTGACCCTGATCTCCGGACACTCCGAAGCCGTCCTCGTCGACACGCTCTTCACTCACGACCAAGGCGTGTCGCTGGGCGACTGGCTCGACGAGACCCTGAACGGCAAACGCCTGGCGACGATCTACATCACCCACGGCCATGGCGACCACTTCTTCAACCTGCAATACCTCACCCAGCGCTTCCCGGGGGTAGAGGTGGTCTCCACCCAAGCCTCCATCGACCACATGGCCACGCAGATCACCCCCGAATTCCATGCCTTCTGGAACGATCTCTTCCCCGGCCGAATCGACACCGATTCCTTCCAGATCTTGGCCAAACCACTGGAGGATAACAAGTTCACGTTGGAGGGCCACACCTTTGAAGCCGTGGACGTCGGACACTCGGACACCGACGAGACGACATTCCTCCACATCCCGGGCCTGGATATGGTTGTCGCGGGGGATATCGTGTACAACGACGTGCACATGTGGATGACAGAGTCGCCGGAGCAAAGGCAGCGCGATGCCTGGCTGCACTCGTTGCGCGTGCTGGAGCGGTTTGATCCGGCGGTGGTCGTGGCCTCGCACCATCGGCCCGGCGGGGTGGATGGCGCGTGGAATGTGCGTGCCTCGATGGAGTACATCCAGACGTTTAGCCGGTTGGTCCAGGAATCGACCAGTGCGAAGGAACTTTATGATAAGGTTGTGGCGGCGTATCCGGATCGGATTGGGAGGCTGGTTTTGTGGTTGGGGTGTAAGGCCGTCTTTCCCGATAATATTGGGGTGTGAGGTGGGGATGGATGGAAGCAGATTGCGATGGAGCGGAGCTTGGGATCAGATACATGAGCTTCGTGTGGTGAATCTCCCTCTATGTCTCTAGAGTTTTTAGCTATAGTGCTCGTGTTAGCTCTTACTTCACTCGTGCTCATTTGCATATAGTGAGGGCGTGTGTGGAGGGAGTTTCGAAGTTCACATCTTCATACACTTCCCCATAGGCAGTAAAGTAAATAGAGACGACCATCATAGGTCTTTACACTTGCGTTTGTATCATAATACAAGTATCTATGTATAGAAGTACTTCAACAAAGTATAACCTCAATGCTTCTGTCTTACCTAAGTCAAGTGCAGCTAGGCCGATGAAGGATTTAGTATCAATACTTAAAGGTTCTTAGTGTAATTAGAGAAATATTACAGCAGCGCTTTCGATTCCTAGTTCTACGTCTGCCATCAACTATAGCTCTGGCATAGAAAATTATCCATTAAGACAGCGTGCGAAAGTATGCAAAGACGAAGAATCTATGGCTCCGCAAATGCCTTCAGTATGAATGTGAACTATGCCAGTGGTATCTGTCATTCAAGTCCTTCGTTTAGACGTGAATAAACTAGCCTAAGGAAGAGGCTAAAGAAGCACAAACTTTAATAACAACCTCAGTACTCTGCGCTGAATCTAAACTTCGAATCGATCTCCGAACAATATATCCACCGTCTTTCAACCCTCTGAGGGAAAAGGGCTTGTTTGAGTCCAACGCATGGGTTCAAAAACACTTGAACTCATTGTTCA